CATTTTGTTTATCTCGTGTAGTTGATACGCGATCTTTATGAACGGGCGATGTACCAGGTTGCAAGTCTGGTACAAAAACCCTCGGTGCGTTTTTTTCGTGTCTTGTCAGATTACGTTTCGCTGTAAATTCCGAAGCACATTTGCTGCATTTGAACAATTTCGAATGTGTTTTTCGGTGAGCGATCAGATTTGACTCGTATACGAATCCCAAAGAACATTGCTCGCATTTAAACATTTTAAAATAAACGGATAAGAAAAAATTAATACGTTATATAATAATTACGTGCGTAGTATTAGCGCAGAGCGAACGAGATGTAGGTTAATATAATAGAGCACTATATCACCAACTGCGGACAGTAATGAATAGTGACTATTCATTCATTCAAAAATCCCTACCGCCACCACTGATCCCCGTCACGTGACAAAATACAGGGTCGTCGGATTATCCTATACAGTGAAAACTCTTTATAACGAAACTCTTTACAACGAAAAACTCTATATAACGTAAACGTTACATAATAATGGTTGGTTTGCTATACAACCCATTAGTCAATTCATTCTCTATAACGTAGTAGTCACTCTCAATAACGAAACAATATTTTATGTTTCATAATACAATTTACGTGTTATAGTATCTATTACATATAATAAACTAAAAAACTAAATCGGCAATAATGCCGAAATCTCCAAAGAACGATTACATTCTTTCATTATCTACTTTTAATATAATAATATCGTTATTGTCTAATTGAATAGGTAACCTATGTTCATTTTATTATCGACGTTATGTCTAACATTATACGCATGACCACAGTAGTATAATAATAATAATATGTAATTCAATATAATACGTAAATATGTATAATATAATGTAAAAATAAAAATGTGTTTGATATAATAATATTAACAGGTACATACATACCTTTATAGTTAAAATACTTAATAATTAAATTTTGTTTTTTTTTAAACCTCTCTATTACGAAAACTCTCTATAACGAAAGAAATCTCTTGGTCCCTTCAGATTCGTTATAAAGAGGTTTCACTGTATATACGGGTGTACTAATATCCGTATGCTATAGTGTTCAAACCATTACTAACCTACTTGAATATGAGACAAGCACACGCGCGGAGTAGACACTTGGAACGATATAGAGTGACTGAATTTATGTTGTGTAGTTGTGTTCATAAACGAACAAATTAAATATTAATTGGTGGGGGAGACTCGAAAAAGTCCCTACAGGTTAATCGGGAGGGGGTATAGCATGCAGCTACCAGGGTCTGTTGACGCTGATGACGCTTAAAAAGGAATGTGAATGTATATATATATATATTTCTAAATGTTATGCGAGTAGCTACATGTTTGTTAAGACTGCTAACGCTTGCAAAGGAATGTGATGAACGTTTATTGTTAAAAATATACCAGTAGATTATTTTGTGTTAAAGTCACTGTGATAACTGATAACGCACCGGAGGGCTCGCGCTCGCGTTCGCGGCGGCCCTTGGTATGGTATAGTGGCGGGGGAAATTATACCTCGCGTACGTAAGCGGACGTCGTAAACGCCAGTTAAATGAGATAGAATATACTTTCTCAAACATATGCGGGTAGGCGGCCTAGTGGTACGGTGGTCGCTTATCATGCTAGGGGAACCGGTTCGAATCCCGGTCTGACGATTAAATTTTTAAATTATTTTCCACGCGCGGCGGCAATGTCGAGCGGTGGTCATAGGTGGGGGGGTGGCGGGGGTACATCGTTAACGTGTGTGATATATGGTGGGTTCAGCAGCCGTCAATGTATAGGGATGTGCAGGGGGTATAGGGAAGAGCGGGGTGGCGGGGGGCATATCGTATACGTGCGTGATAGTTAGCTCAACCCATGGGATGCTGACGGTGTAGTGGGATCAGCAGACGGGTATAGTGGGATGAGCAGACGGGTATAGTGAGATGAGCAGACGGTGTAGTGGGATGAGCAGACGGGTATAGGAATTTGCCAGCAGGATGAGGTTACAGAACTCTCTTTTACTAAATACTCAAGTGGGTGTCGCTCTGCTGTACAGTAGGTTACAAGTGGGTCACTGTTTAATGGATGGTATTAATTTTGAATTCAATGATATTATATCATTGTACAGAAAAAACGATTCTGAGCGAGACGGTATGTCCTTCTAGGTATAAGACATTTATATACTTATCTATGGTATTAAAAAAAAATTGACCTATAATGAATTCCAAATTAATCATATCACAATATCCAATTAGGGTACTGTATAACGCATTATACACCAACAACAAACCCTGATACTATCATAGATATATAGTAGTATACTTTAGAAGTTTCAAGTACCCACGAATAATATTATTCAATCACATCAAAATAACTAAAATAGTTATTCTAGGTTTTTTATTACCTATGTAATTTCGTCCAAATTTGAATTTAAAATGTCTGTAAAAAAAACTGTGTTCATATATTTTTTAGATTTTTTGGTTACAGTATGAACTATTTATGAGAACCTTTGTTTTAAATTTGCAATCCTTAGCTATAAAAACTGAACATATTATAATTTATTAATTACAATGATTGATAATTTTCGAGATTTTAATAAATTTTGTCAAAATTCGATCTTTAAATGCTTATAAAAAGAAATTGTGCCTATGTATTTTTTAATATTTTTCAACTGATATTGTAACAATATATCAGAGCCTTGTATTAAATTTTTACACTTTTTGGCCCAACCGATATAACTTTATGATATTATAAGAAAAAAAAACTAAAATAATTGAAAACTCAAAATGTCCGTAAACAGCTCAAAAAGAGTCAAATATTTTCAAAATTGTATGGTTAGACTTAATTTGAAAATGTTGTAAGTATATTTTTGAAGAAAATGAGTTTAGACTAGTGGATATTGTCTGTATATAGACAATATATAGTACATATTTAAACGAATAGATTACAGTAGTAGAACTCTGACCGTATACTTTTAACATCAACTTTTAAAAAATTGTGTTTTGCAATTATGTGCTAAGGGCCGATATACGCACTTATAACTTTTTACCCACTTAGATCTAATCTTGGATCATGGTAACCATTGGCTCAATTTGGAAGACTAGGGAGGATTTAGACTCCTAGTTTTATTAAAGCAACCCTAATTTTAATCAATTTTTTTAACAAATATTTTATTGATTTTTTTTAACAAACAGAATTTTTACTAACATTTATATTATTTAATTTTAAAATATAATTTTTATCAGACCGTCTTTTTACTAATTTTTATCTGTTACATAAAAAGGTGTTAAAACAGAAATCTCTGTTAAAAAAAATTAATTGATAAAAATGTTTATAAAAAAATCTTATGAAAAAAAACGTTGATAAAAATTCATATTTTATAAAAAACATAAATTAAATCTATATTAAATGAAAAATGTATATTTTAAAGAAAATTTAAATTGAAAATAAATTTTAATAAAAATTCTGTTTGATAAATAATCTATAAAATAAAAACTATGAGATAAAAAAATGGATAAGAAATTAGTTTGATAAAAAATATGTTAAAAAAAATTAATAAAAAATCTATCTGACAAAAAATTTATGTTTTGTAAAAAATTCAAATCTAAATATATAAATAAATGAATTGCTGTTTCTTTGTCTCGCTAAAACTCGAGAACAGCCGGACGGATTTGGCTCAAATTTTTTTTTAAGATGTTTGTAATTGCCAGGAGAAGGTTGATACGAAAGAAAATTCCAGGAAAATCCACCGGAAAAGTAAGAAATCTGGATGTAAAAAATACAACAGTGGTGCCACAGTGTATTATAATTTATATTGGTTACTATTGGTTAATCGGGCATGTTTGATGATTTGGTCTTATGATGTATAGTCATTGCTAATATCTACATTCAGTGAAAATGTCATCTATACTCAGTTATATTTTTTAGAGTTACATTAAAAAACAAAATCAATTTTATTCAAAAACCGGGTTTGGGTAAAAATCTCAGTTTCTAGGTTTGTTTTTCTAGATGCTTTTGAAAATTACCGGGAATTTTTTACTTTAGACTTCCAAAGTACCAACTAGATTCACTTTTGTTCATTTTCGTTCACCTATTCACCACGAATTGGTTTTAATACTTTGAATTTTGTATAAACCATGGACAAATGAACTTACAATGGACATACTTATCAAAATATACAATAATATTTTCCTATTATATTATTGATTATTGAATAAGTATTGATGGAAAAAAACAGGAAATCAACTATTCTCTTCTCAGCGATAGACCGCGCCGCACACCGACGAAAACTGGTTCCCCCGCGTAACACCCTGCCATTGGTGAACCGGGTTCGATAGCATGGTGACGCGGAGAGATGCGCAGAATCGGAATATAAGTGAAGATCTATTTTTAACATGACTGGACGTAATTTATAAATTTACTATCGATTAAAATTAAAACAGCCAGAATTAAACAGTGTATTATTATATTATATTATTATACACTTTACAATCTGCGTAAATAATAACCGTTGTCGTCCGAGTCGATCGCGCTTGTTTACTTTTGGATAACATGAAATCCAAGCACGCATTATGATTGTGCTCTGCGTCTACGCCAGTTAGAAGCACACCATAGCCGTCATTAAAAGAAAAATTTTTTAATTGTTGATTCTGTTAGTGTTCTGTGTTTTAACTTTTAAGTGTTAAAATGGAATTTGAAGAGTATTATTACGTGAAGAATGGCCAAGGAAGGCATAACGGTGTAACGTAAGTATACTGTATAGATACTTTTTTATTCGTGAATTATTAATTTATTTTATCAACTGCAGTGATGGATTTAGAATGTAACAAAACTGTGTAGAGTTTTAGAAATTTACCTGACCCCATTACGAAAAATAAATAATATTTTTTTAATGACCTTATAGGTACTACAAATGTAAATTTGCAAAAAAGTTTTTTTGTACTGCAACTTTGAAGGAACTTATAACGACGATAACCACGACATGGATTTAAATGTGATTCGTATGGCACAATTTAAAAAGCGTTTGGAAATGAGATCTGCTACGGATTTGATTCCACTGACTCAAATTTATGACGAGGAAGCACGCAAGTAAGAACTAATTTGTTTATTATAAAATCGTTAGATTATCTGAAAAACCATATGTAGGTATGTCCGTTCTATCATTTGGTAGCCTAAATTAAAAGTTATTTTGAGGACGAATGCCGTGTCAATAGAACAGTACGACCTACGAGCCTATATCTTATGCACAATGCAGATATTCGTCTCCATACCATTATTCTGCCTAACACTAAGGGTAAACCTTAGCTATAGGTTAACTTCTTATTTTTCATAAATTAAAATTTAATTTATATTTTCTTTATTTATTATACAGTTTTTTTAAGTTGAACCTTTTTTAAAAAGTATATACCAACAATCTACATATTGATTCACCAAGCAAGATAGATTCTGAGGGGAGTGATAAATGCATTGATCTTACTTGTTGGCAAAAATGTTCAATAGATTGTGCCGAATTATATTTTTATTTGGGAATATTATTGGCCAAATTCATGGCTTATCGTCTTATTATTTTTTTCATGTAAATACTAACACAATAAAACATACCATTGGAACATTTTTTTTACTATTTTCATTGTTATCGTTTTCATTTTTTTATTCTTTAAAATTCCTTATTCCAAAGCAAAATATTTATGGAGTATTTTGATCTATAAAAATTGAATTTTGGATGAGTAGCTTTTATGAGTTATAGTTTAGATGTGTGAAGTTGAGTGGTTAGGGGTACACCCCATAAAATGTAGTCCACCAATAAACTACTTGTCGGAAATTTGATTTGTAGAGATCAAAATATTCTGAGACTCTGAGTTATATTATGCTTAGGAATATGAAATTAGAAATACATATTGTCAATGAAAATAAAACTAAAAAAAACCATAAGAAATATGATTATATTCCAAAAATATTTTTGAAGAACTTAAAATTATATAAAAGAAATATTTTCAAAATAGTTAATTTTTCTCAAATAATGAGTCGTGTTATATGTGATTAATAGAAAACCACGTATAGTATTGTCTATTTTGTTTATATTAAAATATATTAAATAGGTATTATTAAAAATTTAGTTTTCCAGAATCAGCCTCAAATTACACTAAACATTCGGCTGAGAGTTTTATGAGAAGGGCAAGGACATTGTCACTTCCAATGATTCCCGAGACCTTAAGTGATTTGGCCAATCAGTTTATAGCCGGAAATTTAAACAGATATAGTGTTGATGGGGAAGTAGTTTATAAAGGTAAACTCATATTAAACATATTTGATACAAATCTGAAGAAGATAAATTATTTTAATTTTTTAGGTTGTGTACAGGATACAAATGGCAAACATTCTATAGTATTTGCATCACAGTCTCTGATAACTAATGCTCTTACTATGTGTAAGCGAGAATTACATGCTGATGCCACTTTTAGAATAGTTCCTTCAAAGCCTAAATGTTACCAACTTTTGACATTACAATGTATAATAGAAAATCATGTAAGTTATTACCTACTTAATTTATTGTATAAGTATAAACTATCAATATGTAATTAAATACCTACCTACTTACACTATGTTGTTAAATTATTTGTTTTTTATAGAATATACCACTAGTTTATGCTTTGATGGAGTCCAAGAAGAAATGTAGTTACCAAGCTGTGTTAAGTTACATTAAAACTCAACTTCTACCACACTTCAACCCCCGTAAAATACTAACTGATTTTGAAACTGGATTGAGTAAAACATTGCAAGACAACTTTCCTTTTGCGAGACGGATTGGTTGCTGGTTTCATCACAACCAAGTAAATAAAATGATCTTACATTATATTTACTATTTATAATTATTAAGGACATATTACACCAGCATTTGTTGTCTCCTACTTACAAATGCATGACATGGCAAATTGTACATTCTGAATAATTCATTTAACTCTATTAGTTTTCATATTGGAGCAAATTAACCTATTATCAAATTTAGAAGTAAGAATATTATCTAGTGAATCTCTTAGGTTTTTGTATATTTTAATTTTGAAGCAATTTATTAGTAAGTATTGCAAGGCGTACAAACAATTTTAAATTTAAGATACTCATAACTCACTTTTAAATTAAAATATAAAATGAAACCTATGATATTCACAACATAATATTTTTACTTTTAAATTTGATAATAGGTTAATTCACATAACAGAATTAAATAGATTATTCAGAATTCAATTTGATATTAGGTATGTTATGCGTTTGTAAGACAGAGCCAATGCATGCGGTTGTAGTGCTCTCTTAATAGTTTTTTAGTAGGTACTTACCTAAATATATTTTAAAACTTATATATTTCTTCTTCCTAGGCAGTGTGGAAGAAGATGAAAAGTCTTGGGTATTTAAATTTGGTGAATGAAAATCGACATGCTCTTAAAACATTAAGACGCATTATGGTGCTACCATTGTTACCTGGAGATAAAATCGATCAAGGCCTAAGATCTGTAAAGAGATATGCACGAAGAAATGATATTAATATGAACCTACTATTTGATTATTATGAAAGGTTAGATTAGGAAAAATTATTTGTTTAAATTATTACCTATGCTGATACATACATTTTAATAGGTTTTGGATTGCCAAAGTAGGATGTAATGTATTATCTGTTCATAATCAACCTAGGAGAACAAACAACCATCTAGAATCATTTCACAATAAGTTGAGATATTCCTTTGGAGTGGCACACCCAAATCTGTGGACATTTCTTAGTCAGTATCTATTTTAATTTTACTTTTTTTTTAATCAAATCAACATTTACAATTATACAGTTGAATAAAATAACTGCTTTTTGATTAATTTTTATCCCAATAAGTATTGCTTGTTCTGAGGCAAAAAAGGTTACAATAGAAAATTTAAATAAAAAATAAAAAATAAAAATATTCAAGTAAATAAATTTACAGATGAAAATACAAAGTAAAAATGACATGATAATTTATGTGTGAATAAAAAATAACATACTTTACATACTTACATTAGTTCATTTAACTTTCTTTTAAGTATATATGTTTTTTTACCTTTGTAATATATGTCACACACATTTATAACTATAATACACTTTTATTAATTTTTGCAAACTAAACTTATACATACAATAATAATTTAATATACACCCTCAATCCTCATAGGTACTGTACTCGGTGAAGCCTATTATCTTTTTGAAGAATAAAAGAAAATATAAAAAAATATATATATATTGTTTTAGTAATACAAAAACAAAATAATATATAAGCAGGGTATTTGCTTTTAATTGTTATTAACATGACCTTGTTTGATTTATTTTGTTATAGATAAGTTGTGTAATTTAATGCAAGGTACATCGATCGTAGTAAACCAACTATCGAATGGGCTGAATCCCACAAGGAATTCAAGAGGAAAATTTATTGCTAATGGTGTAAAAATAAAATATGCTACTCAACAACCACATCTTGGTCTCATTAACATAGAAGAATTTTTGAAACGTTGTTCGTATTCCGTGGCATCATACGAAGAACGATTAAGAAATTTTTCACTTAACATAACATATGACAATGAAAATGAAGAATACTATGGAATTCAAGAACAAGAAGGTAATCCATCATATGCAAAAGACAATATACACTGTGTAATAGGGAGACATGACAAATAAAATAACTTTTGTTGCAATTGATAATTTTTACAGACTCTTTCATTACAGCCTACATAATAATATATAGTAAAACATTTTTTTTTATTTTAAATAAAAAATTTTAAATCTTATATACATATTTTTTGAAAAATTATAAATAGCCAATTTATAAATCAGGTAATATTTTTTTAAAGCTTATACTATTTGAATTTCAAAGTTCTTGATGACTGGATAAATTTTACAATAAACGTAATAAGATTTAACATTATTTTTTAAAAATAAACAATATGACAAACTTAACACAAATTTTTCTATTTTAAGTTTTAATTTAACAGATTTAAAAATTGTACACTATTCATGTAGAGCAGGCGTCAGTAAATTATATAAAAAATATTGATGAGAACAAAAGTTATTTAATTTGTCAGATATTCCCGTTACAACTGAGTATACAAATTCAAAATCACCAATAAATTATAGATAACAATCAAGAACCAGAAGATGTATTAATTGAGAGCGATAATGAAAGCTACAATAGACCAGTTAGTGACGATGAAACCGATGAATTAGGGACAATAGATGATGGTGACCATGAATTTGACAATATCCTGAACGTTAATGAACCAAATGATCTTGGAATTGAAGACAATTTTCAGGCAGAAAATGTAGATGATGGCCCTCTGTTAGAAAATATAGGTATTTACATAATATATTGTTTTATATTAAGTTATTGAAGTATTATAACAATTTTAATAAAAAAAGATCAATAATTTTAATACATTGTTTACTTACCTAAAAAAAATGCTTGATTGTTGTAAATAACCTCGAATCAATTCTAGATGATCAAATGGTGAACATTCAACAAAATGAAAGTGGCAACCAACAGGACAATGATTGTAAGTTAATTTGTTAATAGTAATCCAACAAAAACCTAACTGTGAAAAAAAGGGCATAGTCCACTTCAAAAACATTCTGCCTATCCAAGTATTGATACCTACATTGTAGCCAAGTTTATCTTTCTTTAATCAATAACCTATTAATACACAAATACATTTATATGCAACAGATATCTTTTAACTTGATTGCTTATCACTTGGCCAGTTTATTCTTATTTTGTCTCTTTGGTGTTGTCAACAACTGAAATAGATTTCAATCATCTACAGGTTATTTTTCTTTGAAACATATGATTTGCCAGTCAGTCAGTAACAAAAATTCAAACTTTGAAGTGCTCCCCAAAAGGCTTAGTATTATGGACTCAAATGAGTACAATGTCTTAAGTTCCTTAAGCTTAATCTATGTTTCAAATTTCAAAAGTCCATCCTGAGAGAATGCTGATATCTGAGAGTTAGAATAACCGGGGCTGAATCCATTTGTGAAAAGATACACTGGAGATTGGTATTGATAGGACTTGCCCGGCGTACTACCATGTGTTCAGATAAATAATAACTAATATTTTATATTTATATAAAATTCTTACACATGACAAAACCCAAATAATTATTTTACATTACAGGGAATGAAGAAGATTTTATTATTGAAGAGGAATTAGATCCTGATATGATACGGATGATGGAAACTGACCATAGAATAAGAATGTTGGAAATAGAAAATTTACCATTTTTTCAGGTTCCGTCTGTTCTTCCTCCAATTACCAACTCTGATCGAATGTGTGTAGTTTGCTCTATTTCAGAGAAAACGCATGCGTTCATACCATGTGGACACATAGCTGTGTGTGGTGATTGCCTAATATTATTAGACCCGCAACGCTGTCCATTATGTAACCAGCAATTTACAGCATTTTTAAGAATTTGGTCATAATAATTATATATTATATAGATAATAATAATAATTTATTTAAATAAAAAGAGTATGCCTTATTAAAACAATAAAGGGATTTAATTATTTAAGGGTCTAATAAGTGTTTGATCAATTTAAATCTGTTTTTAGATATCACTACTATTGGATTCTTTAAGAATATGCTGTCACACATTGCTCCAATAATGGTACTGTACAGTCTGTGTACACATATTATAAATAAAATATAATGATATTATAATATTTGATATAAAATACAATTTATATCAAATTATTTTATAATTTATACAACATATATATTATTAGAATATTGTAATATAACATTAATTGATATACTATAAAATATAAAATATATTCATTATTTCATTAAATTAGTATGGACCCTTAAAAAAAAAAAACAGATTGCGGATTTTAAATAATAAAATAATTGAGTGTACTTACATAAGAAAGTAATACAATTAATGAGATTTACATTTTTTATTTTATTACGGCTATGTTATTATTGTGTAGAATTGAAAAAAACATTACCTACCTACCTACCTACCTATATTATAATGAGTATGATTAAAATCTTTTAAATTATAAAATGTTAAAATATTACTTGTTAAGAATTTGAAATGGTTAATAAAGTTAATTTATATATCTATTTCAAAAACAAATTCAGTATATTATAATATTGTGAAATTTATTTATACATGAATGCATCAATGTTAGTTCAGATAAATTTAATGGTTTTAATTTATTAATTGTTGGATTTTAATATTAAAATATTACAAATTATATTACATTAATAAGAAATGTTTAAGTAGATAAGGAAGATCAAATGGTTGATATTTGATAACTACCGTCGACCCGTTTCAATTCGTCATTTAGGTACAAGTAAATACGAAGAAATACAATAATATAACGTGGTATTAAAATATCGTGCTTAGAAATTTGTAAATAATTATCAATAATGTACAATAACATACAAACATTTTAAAGTGCGAAATTGGTAACAACTATTTTGTGGCAATATTTACCTGTACAATGTACATTATTTTAATAAGGAATTAAAAATACAATAATTGGTAATAACATTATTCATGAAATTATAAACAAAACACTCTATGTTATGTTTATAAGTGAACTATTCACACTGTTTTAGATTCTGAGTGAAACGATGAATGTATTGATTTTACAATGATGTGTGTTTTTTTTTTTAATTATTATTTTTATTTTTGTGTCTGTCATCACGTTATAGAACAGTAAAAGTGCATAGATTTTCTTCAACAGTAGCTTTTCTGATAGGAAAGTGAATCTAGTTGGTACTTTGGGGGGTCAAAAGTAAAAATTTCCCAGTAGTTTTCACAAGCTCCCGAGAAAAACAACATATACATTAAGGAAAACCGGGAATTTTTACGCAAAATCGGTTTTGGTTTTTGGTGTAACTCTAAGAGAAATGAACGTATATACATGACATTTTCACTGGTATGTTATATTGCATTTTATATACACGATAACATTTTCAAAATATTTTGATTTATTTTGAACTGTTTAGGGACATTTTAATTTTCCATTTTTCCATTTTTTAATTTTCCATTTTATTTGTTGGTTGTGAAAGCTTGAAAACTTAATAGAAGGCTCCTAGTATATTGTTTCAAAGGCAGATGAAAAATATTAAAAATCCTTAGTCACAATTTTTTTTTATAAGCATTTAAAGTTCAAAAATTGACAAAATATGGAAAAATCACGAAAATTAGCAAATTATTTTGAGTTAAGAATTCGTAAAAATTTTTCTTTTTAAATCTAAGATTTTAAAATGTAATATAAGATTCCCTATAAGATTATCTACCTTTATCAAAAAAAAATGACTATAAGAAAGTCAAATTAAATTTTTATGAGCGTTTGAAATTCAAATTTGTACAACATTGGATATTCACTCGATTTCTCATGTAGCGATTTCCTTATTTTGTTGTAATTCAAAAACGAATAACTGTAGATACATGAAAATTTCACTAAATGTTTAAATTAGCATTTCCTATACACCATACAACTTTGAAAATATTTTGACTCTTTTTGAGCTATTTACGGACATTTACCGCTTTTAGTTTTTTTTAGTTTTTTTTTCTATAAATATCAATAAAGTTTTATCTGTTGGGCCAAAGAGTGTAAAAATGTAATAAAAGGCTCCTGATATATTGTTACAATATCAGTTGAAAAATATTAAAAATACATAGGCACAGTTTTTTTTTATAAGCATTTAAAGTTGAAATTTTGACAAAATGTATCAAAATCTCGAAAATTATCAATCATTGTAATTAATAAATTATAAAATGTTCAGTTTTTATAGCTAAGGATTGCAAATTTAAAACAAAGGTTCTCATAAATAGTTCATACTATAACCAAACAATCTAAAAAATATATGAACATAGTTATTTTTTACAGACATTTTAAATTCAAATTTGGACGAAATTACATATTAAAAAACCTAGAATAACTATTTTAGTTATTTTGTTGTGATTGAATAATGCTATTCGTGAGTACTTGAAACTTCTAAAGTGTACTATTATATATCTATGATAGTATCAGGGTCTGTTGTTGATGTATAACGTGTTATAAGAACCTAATGGATATCGTGATATGATTAATTTGGAATTTATTATAGGTATTAGGTACCTATTGGCTATTATAGGTCAATTTTGTTTAGTACCATAGATAAGTATATTATATGTCTTAAACCTAGACTGACATACCGTCTCCGCTTAGAATCGATTTTCTTATACAATGATATTATATCGTTGAATTCAAATTTAATATCATCCATTATACAGTGACCCACTTGTAACCCACTGTACAGCAGAGCGACACCCACTTGCCCACCTTTTTTTTTTTTTTTTTACATGAAATTTACAATCTTTTCTTAACTAGAACAATAAGCAAATGTGCATAGGGTATTTGCGTATGAATTTTTTGAGGGAAAGAAAACCATCCATTGGTGTACTACCTATTTTGTGTTCTTAATTTTTAAGTTTAGCTAATTTAATTTTTTAGACAGAAGGGTCTCGACACATCTTCGCTTAAGCCATCTAGGTGGGTAAAATCAGTGGTAGGTAAATTTATTTTTACCTGACACACGTTTTTCAATTGTTTGATTAACGTATTTAGTTAAGTATGTTGAAACGATGTGGAAGTCAAAATTTGACCGTCGGACTTAGTTCTGAAAATTTAGTTATTTGAGGTCCGAGGTGTTCAAGGCCCTTCCAAAGTGGTTTTACATAACAAGTCGAGGGATGTTTATGATTTAAATTATCCGAGCGAGCGCAACAAGCAAGTGATTATAATTTTTTTTTAAAGTGTCGAATTTCAATGAACAATATTTTTCTTGGGGGATGGAGTGGCCGAGCGGACTAAGGCGTCGGCTGCGACGCAGCCGACCCGAGTTCGATTCCTTGGCCACGGGTGGCATTTTTCTTCGGACAAGTCACGGTGTCCGGAGAACAATTTCCGCCATCCCCCACCCGGGCATGTCAGATACCTACTGGTGCCCAATCAAAAATTCTGTCAAACACAACACACACGTGTAAAAACCTTACCATTACAAACCCTACTACTTACAACCATAAAACCCCACAATCAGCTAATGGCCATAGTCGCCGGGCTTTAAAGATCAATTAAAAAAATATATATATTTTTGTTACGTACCTACCTATAATACAATTATTAAAAGTTGGTTTTAAAATGATCCTAAGTTCTAAACATTTTTAATATTTTATTGAATACGCTTATTATGACTGATGACAGATGACACAATACCCAAGGTAACCTAACCATATCTACTTTTCTGAAGTTGTTATATTATAATAACATAAAAGTTATAACATCAACGTATGACATCTAAAATTATGAAATTGTTGAACCAATTATTAAAAAATGTATTTATTGATTATTTCATTTACATATTTATTAATAATTTTGGGTATACATTTGTGATAAACGTAAAATCGTTTTAATCTAGGTAGGTAGGTATTAAAAAATAGCAGGCACTTGTAAAGTATTTTGAATACTTTTAAAATGTATTTGTATATTTTATATTTAAATACAAATGAAACCAAGTATTTAAATAATAAATACGTATTCTGAATACATTTGAAAAATATTCTTAACAAGACTGTATATAATTAAAATGAGACGCTATTTATTGACATTATATTAGGCCTTATACTAGGCTAATTTTAGCTGTTGAATGGTTTCCCACTATACCCACTATTCACTAACAACCATAAAGCTATTAGGATATCTGTATCATTATTCATTAACTATCTATAGGTACTATATTTACCACTTATTAAGTTCTTGGCATATTATAAGGTATTAAGGTCAAAGTATACCTAAGTATAAGTATTTAGGTCTATGGTTCTTATTAAATTGTAAAAAAATGCTAAATTTAATATAAAAAAAATTTGGGTGGTAAATTTTTAATGTTCAAGGTTTTGACGGAAATAATTTTTGTGTTCAAGGTTTTGACGGAAACAATTTTTGTGTTCAATATTTTGACGTTCAAGGTTTTGACGGAAACAATTTTTGTGTTCAATATTTTTACGTTCAAGGTTTTGACAGAAATAATTTTTGTGTTCAAAATTTTGAAATTCAAGGTTGTAACGTTCAAGGTTTTGAATGTTCAAGATATTGACATAAATTTATGTTCAAGATTTTACCGTTCAATATATTAACGTTCAAGATTTTGACGTTCAACTATTTGACATTCAACGGTATAAATGGCGTCCACAACGCACCCACCAGACATATCCAAACTAATACAAGAGAAAACCTACGAAGCACGCAATATGGAGATAGATATATAATATGTATGGGTACCCGGACACTGTGGCATACATGGCAATGAAAAGGCAGATTTAGAAGCGTCAAAAGCAGCCTCCTCCCAAGACACTATACTTCTCAATGTGTACACATACGAAGACAAAAAGAAACAAACCAAACAAGTCCTAAACCATGAATGGCTCAAAATGTGGACTAACCAATGCACAAAGTTAAACCAAATAAAAAACAACATACAAACATGGCACAACCCAGGACTAAAAAGAAAAGAATAAACTATACTAAATCGTTTACGAATAGGGCATACATTTATCATGCACAGGCATCTCATGGAGAAAAACAATCCTCCCATATGTGAAATGTGTGGAGTGGTCTACACAGTCAAACACATTATCACTGAATGTCAAAAATACGAAGACACGAGGAAAAAACACCAAATATCACAGAAAATCGGAGAAGCACTCGGACCTGACCCTCAATCAACCACCAAAATCCTACAATTTATTAAAGAAAATTCAGCTATATAACCTAATTTAAGCCATATTATAAGTCAACCATACATTTGTAAAATAATTTAAGTTAATTTCAAACTAATGGCCATAGAAGTCGATGTTTTATAGATCAATACAAAAAAAAAAAAAAAAAATTATCATTAATACCATTTTTTGTTTTTAAATTAATGTAATATTGATGAAACACTTCCGGTATCAATGGTAATAATAACCACAGATATAATAGTATATTATACTAATACTAGATAGCCGTCTTCAAATACACCACCACAAAATGAGCTGAAACGCGACGCCATATGCAAAGACGACAACTTGATAAACAAACGTTATCAATACTAGACTATTATCAATATAATATTATATATTTATTATTTTATTATATTATATTATTATTTAAAAATGAGAACTAACCTATCTATATTTTGTTATTTCTCAGTTCTCTGTTTTATATTATTAAACAAAGCCATTAATTAATACTACCTATGTGGTAAGTACGTATATTAATATCATAGAACAATGTTAATATACATCAATTTGGGATATACTTAACTCAGGTCAAATAAAATATAATTTAATTTACCCACGACAATTATTTAATTTGAAGTTTGAACAATATGCGTCTGGTTGTCGTTGAATAATAAGTGATAAATTTATTAGTCTATATACCTACTTGATAACGTTTGTTTATCGAGAGTATTCTATGCATATTATGGCGGCGTGTTTCACTGATAACGAGAAGACGGCTATCTAGTATTAGTATATATCTGTGATAATAACAGAAGATCTTTTTTTTTCAGTGTTTATTGGTAACTCTTCGTTATATGTATTAGGTAAAATATTATTATTTGTTACCTTTTTACGACACAAATCAAGACTTAAAAAATCTTCTTCTTCTGTTAAGGAGGTTTTGTAAAAAACTGTGTTTAGTTTTCCTTTTATATACCTTAACCATTTGGTCTCTTGAAACACAAATTTATCTCCTACCATATTTTGTTTAGGCATTTTGTACTTGGCTTTTAAGAGACTGCTGAAATTATAGAAATTACTTTGAGTCATGTCAATCACTTCAAATTTTTTACCTCCTGCCCATCGAATCATTTGTGTCCAGTCATTTGGATGGTTTATTGAACCTGTGTACCTTTTCTTGCCTTCTCAATCCTAGCATGGTCCGAATCACACTCCATCCTAGCATGGCCGGGAACCATAAACTTATAATCAATTATTTTTATTGAATTATCTTGTTCCAAGTACCAAAGACACATGGCCATAAAAAAAAACTATTTTTGTTTTGACCTGAGCAACAGTCACTATACATTACAACGTGCTCTATATCTGGAGATATTTTGTTCAAAAAATCAAAAACACAAGAACTTATATCACTTACACCTCTTTTTGCAATGGGTTCACTCCAGATATAACATGAATGTTTAAATATACAATTAATATTAGTATTCAAACCATGTAAACACACGTGCGTGTACAATGTCGTTTTCTAATAGATACTTATGCAGTTACGATATAGCTGTGCAACACCTTTACTATCGCTTTCTATATTATATACGGATACGGGATGGCCTCGATTGTTCATATAAATAGGGCCTTTGATGTATGTAATAATCACTTGCACAGACGCTATCATACCGAGTGTACGCGGTGTGTGTGTATAGTCACAGTTTAATTGTCCAGTTGTACGTTATTATATATTATACTTATACATAATCATATTGACGTGTTATTACTTATTATATTAATGCTAAAATCACTAGTACGTCAAGCTTCACTTTCAACAAGTTATGGGCCCAGTCAATAACCAAGACATACAGTCTAGTGGATTCGTGATCGAAGTATTTTTATATTTGTATTAAGAGGACGTGTCACCCAAAAAAATCACTCGAAAAATTCCTTTAAAAACATGTTTGCGCGTTCCAATAATATGGGTTACTGAGTGGTTTTATCATAAAAACAAATATGAACAAAATTGTAGAGGAGAATTTTATCTGGTTCCGTAAGAAGCCCGAATTTTGAAATTTTCATTTCTAAGTCCTAAAATTAACTTCCGGAAAATGAAAAAAAAGTGTATTATTAATCATGATATATTTCATGATGTTTTAAAGATATCAAAAATCGGGCTTCTTACGGAACCAGATAAAATTCTCCTCTACAATTTTGTTCATAGGTGTTTTTACGATTAAACCACTCAGTAACCCATATTATTGGAACGCACAAAGTATGTTTTATAAGAAAACTGCAGAAAATTACGCTCGGCAAGTGCTGCGCCCGTAGTCAGTGGCAGCGTTCGATACTAGCTGTGCATACCACCACCCCGCGCGCATTAACGGCGGTACCGCACAATGGTCAAAACAGGTTCTCTATCGCAGCCGACCGCCCGTGCATAGTTTATAAATAACCAGATAAGAAAATGATTATTATATTTGTGACAAATAATATTTAATTTGGTTCGATTTTATATTTTGTATTCGTATCCGAATTTTGTACAAATAAAAACTATACTTTTGTTCTTCAAGTAGGTAATAGTGTAATACAGCTTATTGAAGCGGTTTACAATAAAAATACCTATTATAAAAATTGTAGAGGAGAATTTTTTTAACAATCGTAAGGAATCCGATTTTTGATATCGTATTCCAATCGTCCAATATCGCATGGTAAATTAACATTTTTTTTTTTTACTTTTTATCGATTAATTATTTAACTTATTAATAAAAATATAAAAAATCGAGCTTATTTCAATTGTTGAAAAAATTTTTTCTAAAACTTTTATAATAGGTAGTTTTGCTTTAAACTATTTAAATAGGCCGTATTACTTGAATTATCGAACAATTTGGGTATGATAAAAAAAAGAAATAGGTAGGTACTCAAAAAACCATTTATAACAATTAACAGAAATCATTCAATGTAGACAATCTGAGCCACAATCAGGTAAAGTGGTACATATTATAAATTGAATATAATTTGCGAAAGGATATTTTAAATAGTCCATACCATATATTTGGCAAACACTCTAATTGTGCCCGATATTTTTGCACTGGAAGAAAGTTATACGAACTGAATTTGATCGACGAAGTATTGCAAAGTGGTTTGATGAAAGAAATGACAACTGCACTTAGACGTGTTGCTGATAATGCAAAAAGTTTATTACTTGATGTTGATAACAACATCTGCGAACAGTTTAATAGTGTCATTAATAATAGCACATAGGCGGTAAACGAATTAATTTTTCTCAAAAACAGTCGTACACCACTAGAATATATACTGCTACTGCTGTACTGCTGTAGTATTATTTAATACAGGTGGCAATTATATACGAGAGCTTCACAAAAAGATAACAACCAAACGTCCAGGTACATTATTTAAAAAGTACCTATAGTGAGTTTAATTAATTAATTTTAATTTTATAATATTATTATGGCATGAATTAGAATTTAATAGAAATTTTGAGTTTTTTACAACAACGCTTTCAAATTAAAATTAAATAAATACTACCAAAACTTATATTTCACATTTCACATTTTTATATTTTGGTATATCGTATTAGCTATGAGTAAATTAAAAATTGAAATAATTTGTATATTAAAGGTGTATAGGCACAATAATAAAATAAATAAAATATTTCATTATGAATTATTTTTCAGTATTTATAATGTATGAATAGTATTAATTTATTATTATTATGTGGGTAATTGTTTTAATATTATTATATGTGTATAGGAATCATAGCCAAAAATGTTTTGAAGCATACGGCAGATAAACGAATAACATTAAGACGCAGGAGAGCACTTTTTAAATTATCTGGAGTGTATAAATCAACAAAAAAGGTGGGCAAGTGGGTGTAGCTCTGTTGTACAGTAGGTTATAAGTATAAGGGATGGTATTACATTTGAATTCAATGATATTATATCATTATTCATTGTATAAGAAAAACGATTCTAAGCGGAGACGGTATGTCAGTCTAGGTATAAGACATATTATATACATATATATGGTATTAAACAAAAAATAGGTACCTAATACCATTGATTAAATATACATAGATAGCCCACGCAACGTTAAAAACTGTTAATGAGAAATCGAGGTATTGGGAGCCTAAATATAATAGTACGGGAGCCTGAATTCAGATAGCGCTTGAGTAGTTTTCGACACTATCACAACCGCGATGGTAACCACGATGGTAGTACTTGGTAGTTATAATGGTATTTAGGTTTACTTAACAATTTTTGATAAGCGGTAAGTGATAACATTTAATTGAAAAGTTAACTGACAAAAACCATCTTATGATTCTTATGTCTAATTCGACTATGCTCTGAGTGCTCTGACAAGTGACAACTATTACTATACAGACTTTCTGCCTACTTTACCTCGCGTTCTTTACTTATTTTGCAGTTCTTGTATATTAATATTATGTCGCGCGGTTGTGGTAGTAAATGTGTGTACATGGACTGTGGTAAATCCGCTCGTAATAATCCGGATTTGACATTCCGTAAATTTCCAACAAATGCGGACGTTCGTAAAAAGTGGATTTTGAGTTCAGGTAAGGACAATCATATTAGAAAAATAATGGAACATAATGTTTTAGAATGTTAATAAAATACACAAAAAATTTGTTATTTTTATCAAAATTAAACTACAAGATAAGTGTAATATTAGCTTAATAATTCATATAAAGTTTATGGGTATGACTTGATAGTTGATACTAGAGAGCCTAGATAATATATATATAAAGGCTCTTTAGTTGATACCTAGTAATTCAAAAAAAATTATACATTTTATGTGTTGTCTTGTGTGTGTAAGACTGATAAATAATAACACACTACTGTTTGGTAAATAACTAGGTATGTCTTATAATTTTACCAAATTATTCAAATTGTATTTTATTTCCGGTTTTCTATAAGAATGTATTTTGTGGTATTGATTAAATATACATGTAGCCATGTAGGTACTAGGTACCTACAAATGTACATTTAATTAATCGTTATCAATGTAATAGGTATAGCTAGATACGGCTAGATATTGGTAGCTAACTATAATATAATTATGAGAAAAATTGCTCTGTAGCTTACAACTTAAGAAGGGGAATAAATACCTTATTATTATTTATATTTTATTCAAAAACTATTTTTTATGTTAGGTACATCAGTTATTTTCTATAGGCGGTATACTACTCTTTATCATATTTTGGTAGAATGTAAAAAAATATATTGGCCTTTTGATAAACAGCTAACATTTGCATTTTGCATCACTTAAGTTAACTACCTACCTAAATCTTTTTGTTATAATACTATCAATACCTACCTATAGCTTTATTGTATTGAGTGAAGTCGCTTACTATGGCCAATATCCCCAATCTATCGCTAGCTATCTTTATTTACTTTGTAAAAAAAAAATGCCATATGGCATTATACTTATGGCAGTATTTAGATTAGATGTTTAGTATACACTGGTTTATTTTATAATACAAATTATAAACTATGATTTCACCACTGTTGGTTTGGACGTGGCCATAGGTGACGACTTCACCCTAGATATTATAACTTAAAAGTAAATATTTTAAATTTTGTACTAAATTAAATTCTTATATTTTAATTAGGAAATGTTACTCTACTGAGTCTCACGTCAAAAGAATTATCATGTCGATACATCTGCGACACTCATTTTCTAAGCACAGATTATACTAACGAAAATAAAAGCAGATTAAACAAACAAGCAGTTCCTACTCAATATACAGATATCGGAAATTTTCATGTTACCACACCTACTAATGTTTACAAGAAAGTATGTTTAAGAAGCCCAATTCAATTACAAATGGTTACCAAATCAGGTTCTCCGAATTTCTACGTTCAAACACCAAATAAAATTCCCCCTTCCACTAGTTCCACTAGTAACTTATCCACAGTTGCTTCTACATCTTCGACTCCAGTATTGACACCAACAACAAGAAAATTCATTGAAGAATCACATGTGCCAATAAAATTACACCCTAAAAAATTATTTAGTGGTGATAAAGTTGCAAAACTAAAATTTGCTCTGAAACAAAAAAAAAAGCAAATTAACAGTAAAAATGTATCCCTGTTTAGATTGAAAAATAGGTTGCAATTAATGAAAAATGGAAGGCAGACTACCAATAATATTGTAGATTCTTTACAATATCCATCAAAAGACTCTAAAGCACTTGTCAAAATGCAGACATTAAGAGCTAAATCGTCAAGAAAACCTTTCACAAAAGCAGAACAAAATTTTGCCCTGAGTTTATTTTACAAATCACCAAGTACTTACAAATTTCTAAGAAATAATAAGAAAATAACTTTACCTGGCATGTCAACAATTCGTCGGTGGATTGGTAATTCAAAATTCAGACCGGGATTTAACTCAGGGCTATTTCGACAATTAAAAAAAAAATGTGAATCAATGAGCCAAGATGAATTATACTGCACATTAATATTTGACGAAATGAAGATTAAAAACTATCTTGAATATTCTAAGTTTCTAGATTGCGTTGAGGGGTATGAAGATTTGGGAACAAAAGGTCGTACAAATAAATTAGCTGGTCAAGCCATGGTGTTTATGATACGTGGTTTGTATTCATCATGGAAAATGCCTATTTGTTATTTTTTACCTGCGACATCAGTAAAAAATTGTATATTGAGTGAGTTGTTAGTGGAGGTAATTCAACGGCTATTAGATTGTGGATTTCATGTTAAAGCTGTAATATGTGACCAAGGAACTAACAATGTAGCAGCACTTAAACTATTAAAAGTTACAAAAGACAAGCCGTTTTTTGAAGTTAATGAAAGACGAATTTATTCTATTTTTGATACTCCACATTTATTTAAAAACTTGCGTAATCATTTAAAAAAAAGCAATTTTATATTTGAAGGCAAAGAAGCCTCTTTTCAAGACTTGAGAGATGTTTATGACATTGATAAGAAAAGTTGTACTAGTCGTTCTTTATTAAAAATTACTGACAATCACATAAACCCAGGGCCATTTCAATTGATGTCATGTAAATTAGCTATGCAACTTTTTAGTAATACAATGTCTACTGCTATAAAAACCAGTGTTTACACCGGTCAGCTGAAGTCTAAAACAGCTATACAGACAGCTAATATGATAAAATATTTCAATGATTTACTAGATGTACTAAATAGTATGAGTTTGTACCATTCCAATCCATTTAAATGTGCTTTATCCACCGAGAGACCCCAGCAACTAGAATTTCTTCAAAAAGCAATAATAACATTTGAAAATTTAAAAAAGAAAAATTCTACCAACAAAGGGAAAAAAGAAACCAGACCTGTTTGCTTTGATGGTATGTGCTGGACCTTGAATGCTATTATACTGCTGTATAAAGAACAACAAGACATGGGATTCCCATACATTTTGACTGGACGCCTCAACTCTGATGTAATAGAAAACACATTTTCTATATTTAGACAAAGGGGAGGATATAATAGGTAAAATATGCTAGCCTTGAATTCTTATATAACATAAAAGTTGAATATTTTAAGTTTTCAATAATTAATAAAATGTTGATGTTTTTTCAGAAATCCAACTGCAAGAACTTTCCGCACAACATTTAGAATTAATGCAAAAATGAGTTTAATGAAACCATCGAGTTCTTCTAACTGTGAGCCAGACGATGACATCCATTTAATGACTCACTCTGTAAATAATGACATCCAAATAGATGGAGATAGTAGTGAGTCAACAATATCATCCAATGAATCATCCGATTCATGGAAAATGGACAGCATTCAGTCAGAGAAAGAAGCGGTGGTTACTTTGGAAAATTGTTCAAACACATATTTTGCTGGTTACCTCGCAATGAAAACAATATTAAAATTTCCCTGCTCTTATTGTGAACAGTTAATGGTGAAGTCTGATTTTTCAGTTACAAATAAATTAGATTTTTTAATTTTTTGTAAAAACTATGATTCAAAAACGTCTGAAATGCATCTGAAAGTACCTACTTATGAACTGACGCAATTTATTATTTTGGCTCAAAAAATCCTTGCAGATATAGTAGAGAAAAAACCACACAGAAAAAAAATAGCCCAATTTGCTGAAAAAAAAATAAAAACTGAATTAATTAGTTTATTAAATGTTAATGAAACTTGTATTCCACATATTGAATTTTTGATCAAACATCTAATAATATGTAAACTTTTTAGAAATTTTAACTGGATTTCAAAAAATATTAAGCATGTGAGAGTTGAAAAATCCCAAAAAAAATTAAAAATTCTTAAAAATATTTAAAATAGATTTTGTATATATTATATTCTATTCTATTTTATAATGTGTCATTAATTATCATTATCTTTGTTGTAAACTATTTTATATTATATTGTTGTTGTTAATAATGTATTGACTGTTGTTGGTATTGCAAGTATTTGCAACACACTAATAAATTATATTATATTAGTCACAAATTGAATATTTTTATTTACCTGGTTACATTTTTTTTTTTTTATAATATAATATTCAAATTTTAGGAATGTTCATTATAAAAATGACAGACAATATTAACTTCATTAATTATTAAATATTAAATATGCACTAAATACATTTTTATTTCTAAAAAATAAAACATTTTTAAGAGCATTATTTTAAAAGGACGTGGCGTCGCACCTACATATTGTGTTGTCTCCGTCTTACACACGTACTAAATTTTCGTTCCCTAGTTTCAATAGGATGTTGTCAGTTTTGATATTACAGTGAATTGACCTCTTACAAAACTTTTAGGTAACAACATTATCTGTGTTCTCTCGTTGGTTTTTTACGATGATTTAATTGTCAAGTGAGCTATGAATATATAAATTATAAAGTATTAATATTTGAAAATGAACATATCTCATTTAACAATTAAAATAAATGTGAATCAATGAGCCAAGATGAATTATACTGCACATTAATATTTGACGAAATGAAGATTAAAAACTATCTTGAATATTCTAAGTTTCTAGATTGCGTTGAGGGGTATGAAGATTTGGGAACAAAAGGTCGTACAAATAAATTAGCTGGTCAAGCCATGGTGTTTATGATACGTGGTTTGTATTCATCATGGAAAATGCCTATTTGTTATTTTTTACCTGCGACATCAGTAAAAAATTGTATATTGAGTGAGTTGTTAGTGGAGGTAATTCAACGGCTATTAGATTGTGGATTTCATGTTAAAGCTGTAATATGTGACCAAGGAACTAACAATGTAGCAGCACTTAAACTATTAAAAGTTACAAAAGACAAGCCGTTTTTTGAAGTTAATGAAAGACGAATTTATTCTATTTTTGATACTCCACATTTATTTAAAAACTTGCGTAATCATTTAAAAAAAAGCAATTTTATATTTGAAGGCAAAGAAGCCTCTTTTCAAGACTTGAGAGATGTTTATGACATTGATAAGAAAAGTTGTACTAGTCGTTCTTTATTAAAAATTACTGACAATCACATAAACCCAGGGCCATTTCAATTGATGTCATGTAAATTAGCTATGCAACTTTTTAGTAATACAATGTCTACTGCTATAAAAACCAGTGTTTACACCGGTCAGCTGAAGTCTAAAACAGCTATACAGACAGCTAATATGATAAAATATTTCAATGATTTACTAGATGTACTAAATAGTATGAGTTTGTACCATTCCAATCCATTTAAATGTGCTTTATCCACCGAGAGACCCCAGCAACTAGAATTTCTTCAAAAAGCAATAATAACATTTGAAAATTTAAAAAAGAAAAATTCTACCAACAAAGGGAAAAAAGAAACCAGACCTGTTTGCTTTGATGGTATGTGCTGGACCTTGAATGCTATTATACTGCTGTATAAAGAACAACAAGACATGGGATTCCCATACATTTTGACTGGACGCCTCAACTCTGATGTAATAGAAAACACATTTTCTATATTTAGACAAAGGGGAGGATATAATAGGTAAAATATGCTAGCCTTGAATTCTTATATAACATAAAAGTTGAATATTTTAAGTTTTCAATAATTAATAAAATGTTGATGTTTTTTCAGAAATCCAACTGCAAGAACTTTCCGCACAACATTTAGAATTAATGCAAAAATGAGTTTAATGAAACCATCGAGTTCTTCTAACTGTGAGCCAGACGATGACATCCATTTAATGACTCACTCTGTAAATAATGACATCCAAATAGATGGAGATAGTAGTGAGTCAACAATATCATCCAATGAATCATCCGATTCATGGAAAATGGACAGCATTCAGTCAGAGAAAGAAGCGGTGGTTACTTTGGAAAATTGTTCAAACACATATTTTGCTGGTTACCTCGCAATGAAAACAATATTAAAATTTCCCTGCTCTTATTGTGAACAGTTAATGGTGAAGTCTGATTTTTCAGTTACAAATAAATTAGATTTTTTAATTTTTTGTAAAAACTATGATTCAAAAACGTCTGAAATGCATCTGAAAGTACCTACTTATGAACTGACGCAATTTATTATTTTGGCTCAAAAAATCCTTGCAGATATAGTAGAGAAAAAACCACACAGAAAAAAAATAGCCCAATTTGCTGAAAAAAAAATAAAAACTGAATTAATTAGTTTATTAAATGTTAATGAAACTTGTATTCCACATATTGAATTTTTGATCAAACATCTAATAATATGTAAACTTTTTAGAAATTTTAACTGGATTTCAAAAAATATTAAGCATGTGAGAGTTGAAAAATCCCAAAAAAAATTAAAAATTCTTAAAAATATTTAAAATAGATTTTGTATATATTATATTCTATTCTATTTTATAATGTGTCATTAATTATCATTATCTTTGTTGTAAACTATTTTATATTATATTGTTATTGTTAATAATGTATTGACTGTTGTTGGTATTGCAAGTATTTGCAACACACTAATAAATTATATTATATTAGTCACAAATTGAATATTTTTATTTACCTGGTTACATTTTTTTTTTTTTATAATATAATATTCAAATTTTAGGAATGTTCATTATAAAAATGACAGACAATATTAACTTCATTAATTATTAAATATTAAATATGCACTAAATACATTTTTATTTCTAAAAAATAAAACATTTTTAAGAGCATTATTTTAAGAGGACGTGGCGTCGTACCTACATATTGTGTTGTCTCCGTCTTACACACGTACTAAATTTTCGTTCCCTAGTTTCAATAGGATGTTGTCAGTTTTGATATTACAGTGAATTGACCTCTTACAAAACTTTTAGGTAACAACATTATCTGTGTTCTCTCGTTGGTTTTTTACGATGATTTAATTGTCAAGTGAGCTATGAATATATAAATTATAAAGTATTAATATTTGAAAATGAACATATCTCATTTAACAATTAAAATAAATGTGAATCAATGAGCCAAGATGAATTATACTGCACATTAATATTTGACGAAATGAAGATTAAAAACTATCTTGAATATTCTAAGTTTCTAGATTGCGTTGAGGGGTATGAAGATTTGGGAACAAAAGGTCGTACAAATAAATTAGCTGGTCAAGCCATGGTGTTTATGATACGTGGTTTGTATTCATCATGGAAAATGCCTATTTGTTATTTTTTACCTGCGACATCAGTAAAAAATTGTATATTGAGTGAGTTGTTAGTGGAGGTAATTCAACGGCTATTAGATTGTGGATTTCATGTTAAAGCTGTAATATGTGACCAAGGAACTAACAATGTAGCAGCACTTAAACTATTAAAAGTTACAAAAGACAAGCCGTTTTTTGAAGTTAATGAAAGACGAATTTATTCTATTTTTGATACTCCACATTTATTTAAAAACTTGCGTAATCATTTAAAAAAAAGCAATTTTATATTTGAAGGCAAAGAAGCCTCTTTTCAAGACTTGAGAGATGTTTATGACATTGATAAGAAAAGTTGTACTAGTCGTTCTTTATTAAAAATTACTGACAATCACATAAACCCAGGGCCATTTCAATTGATGTCATGTAAATTAGCTATGCAACTTTTTAGTAATACAATGTCTACTGCTATAAAAACCAGTGTTTACACCGGTCAGCTGAAGTCTAAAACAGCTATACAGACAGCTAATATGATAAAATATTTCAATGATTTACTAGATGTACTAAATAGTATGAGTTTGTACCATTCCAATCCATTTAAATGTGCTTTATCCACCGAGAGACCCCAGCAACTAGAATTTCTTCAAAAAGCAATAATAACATTTGAAAATTTAAAAAAGAAAAATTCTACCAACAAAGGGAAAAAAGAAACCAGACCTGTTTGCTTTGATGGTATGTGCTGGACCTTGAATGCTATTATACTGCTGTATAAAGAACAACAAGACATGGGATTCCCATACATTTTGACTGGACGCCTCAACTCTGATGTAATAGAAAACACATTTTCTATATTTAGACAAAGGGGAGGATATAATAGGTAAAATATGCTAGCCTTGAATTCTTATATAACATAAAAGTTGAATATTTTAAGTTTTCAATAATTAATAAAATGTTGATGTTTTTTCAGAAATCCAACTGCAAGAACTTTCCGCACAACATTTAGAATTAATGCAAAAATGAGTTTAATGAAACCATCGAGTTCTTCTAACTGTGAGCCAGACGATGACATCCATTTAATGACTCACTCTGTAAATAATGACATCCAAATAGATGGAGATAGTAGTGAGTCAACAATATCATCCAATGAATCATCCGATTCATGGAAAATGGACAGCATTCAGTCAGAGAAAGAAGCGGTGGTTACTTTGGAAAATTGTTCAAACACATATTTTGCTGGTTACCTCGCAATGAAAACAATATTAAAATTTCCCTGCTCTTATTGTGAACAGTTAATGGTGAAGTCTGATTTTTCAGTTACAAATAAATTAGATTTTTTAATTTTTTGTAAAAACTATGATTCAAAAACGTCTGAAATGCATCTGAAAGTACCTACTTATGAACTGACGCAATTTATTATTTTGGCTCAAAAAATCCTTGCAGATATAGTAGAGAAAAAACCACACAGAAAAAAAATAGCCCAATTTGCTGAAAAAAAAATAAAAACTGAATTAATTAGTTTATTAAATGTTAATGAAACTTGTATTCCACATATTGAATTTTTGATCAAACATCTAATAATATGTAAACTTTTTAGAAATTTTAACTGGATTTCAAAAAATATTAAGCATGTGAGAGTTGAAAAATCCCAAAAAAAATTAAAAATTCTTAAAAATATTTAAAATAGATTTTGTATATATTATATTCTATTCTATTTTATAATGTGTCATTAATTA